GACTATATGTCTGTAGCTGTGACTGACCCAGATGACTATATATCTGTAGCTCTGACTGACCCAGATGACTATATAGCTGTAGCTGTCACTGAACCAGATGACTGTATACCTGTAGCTGTGACTGACCCAGATGACTGTATATCTGTAGCTGTGACTGACCCAGAGGACTGTATATCTGTAGCTGTGACTGACCCAGATGACTATATACCTGTAGCTGTGACTGACCCAGACATCTGTATATCTGTAGCTGTGACTGACCCAGAGGACTGTATATCTGTAGCTGTGACTGACCCAGATGACTATATATCTGTAGCTGTGACTGACCCAGACATCTGTATATCTGTAGTTATGACTGACCCAGACATCTGTATGTCTGTAGCTGTGACTTACCCAGAGGACTGTATATCTGTAGCTGTGACTGACCCAGATGACTATATACCTGTAGCTGTGACTGACCCAGACATCTGTATATCTGTAGCTGTGACTGACCCAGACATCTGTATATCTGTAGTTGTGACTGACCCAGACATCTGTATGTCTGTAGTTGTGACTGACCCAGAGGACTATATATCTGTAGCTGTGACTGACCCAGATGACTGTATAGCTGTAGCTGTGACTGACCCAGACATCTGTATAAACACTGATTACGTAAATAGTACACATAATGATAACATTCAAAAGCCTTCATTGTTGTATGAGGCAGGAAAGGTGAACGCAGACAAATTATAGTAATTTTAAGCCTATATTTTGTTTTCGGATATCCAAATTATTATTTCTAGCAAGAAAAAATATGTAACTTTTAAATAAACAATGGCAGCGAAACACAGGAAAGTGATGTCTTTGTGTGATTTCTGTGTGAAAATGATTTCTATGTGTTAGCGATTTCTGTTGGAAAGTGATTTCTGTGAAAAAGCCTAAACAGTCATCATGTTTAAAAGGTTTTATCAAAGGCAATACAGACATTTGGTTTCTTCAAAAGAACATATATATTCATTTACTGAAATACTTGTCATCCATTCATTGCATACATTGTAGAATATGGTGTTCATACCAAACTGCCCTACTGATGTACTCCGGTACATCTATTAGAAACACTGCAGAGAACATTTCTCTTTTTTTTATATTGCGTTTTCTATCATATGACCGTTTAGTGAGGTTTTATCTAACGAAAAAAATGCGATTGGTTCAATTTTCCATCTTTTTTCAAACGTACAATATATCAGATGATAAACGTACAATATATCAGATCATAAACGTACAATATATCAGATGATAGACGTACAATATATCACATCATAAACTTACAATATATAAGATCATAAACGTACAATATATCAGATGATAAACGTACAATATATCAGATCATAAACGTACAATATATCAGATCATAAACGTACAATATAT